ACCGAAACCGCGCGGTGTGGCCAGGCAGGTCCCCGGGCAGTGTCCCCTGGCAGTGTCCCCTGGCTGCTGTTTTGGGCACTGTCCCGTGGCCAGCGAAGGGGCCAGGACCCGGCCAACACTCCAGCAGGGAGCCCCTGGCCCCCAGCCCGTCAGGTCCCGCCCTGTTTGCCTTTCAGCGAGCTCCAGACCAGCCCGCCCAGTTTTTGCACGCCGGGAAAAGCTCGGTGGTGTCAGGGAATGGCAAAGGCTGGGAAAACACGGGGTGACAGGGAGGGACACGGCGGGTGTGACAACGGGGTGTGCAAACACACCGGGACTGGGCTCTGGGGTGCCAGGCTGGGCAAGGGGAGGGGTCCCCAAACAGACCTGGGGTCCCCACACCCTCCCTGCGCTCACCCCGGCACATCCCGACCCACCCCTGCCTTGGGAATGTCCGGCACAGGGCAGGCAGGGAGGAAGCTCACAGGGATTCCCCCCCCCCTCAGGACCCCCAGCCCACCTCAGACTCACCCACTCCTCCACGTTGGGACCCTCCTGGGCCACCGGCACCTTGTCCCAGTAGATGTTTGGTTTTCCGTATTTCCAGATCTTGCTCCTCGTCTTGTGAGCGAAGAAGCAGATGAGGCAGAGGAGGATGACGATGAGGAACCCGCAGACGATGGCCACAGCCTGGAGGGGAGGAGGGAGGGGGCTCTCAGGGCAGGGGTCACAGGGGCTGGGTACCCTGCACCTCCCTGGGACGAGCGGGAATTGCTCCCTTCATCCCCAAATCCTCCTGATGTTGGACTCCCACCAGGGCGGGGGGAGAGGGGCAGGGTCCCCCCAGCCCGGGATGGAGCCCTTCAGGGGTTCCAGAGATTTAGGGGCCAGGGTAAGCAATGGAGGGTGGTTTGTTTTCCCACGGGGACAGGACAAGTTTGGGATTTGGGAAGCAGCGTGGAGCTGGCAGCCTCCAGCACCTCCCTGCAGCACCCCGACCCCAGCGCCGGCTCAGCCACGCGCCAGCTCCCACACCAGGCATCCCAAAGGGCTGCCGTGAGCCAGAGCCCTGCAGCCACACGGAAACCGGGATGGAGCAGGCCCTGCTTGGCCTTGGCAGGGAGCAGGAGCAGCCGGGGCCGGGCTCAGGAATGTGGCACGGCCGGCACGGCCGGATGGGAACCGGCAGCACCGGTCCAGCACATGGGCCACCAGCTGGAGCCCCGGGGCTGGGGACGGGGCTGGGCACGGGGGCTGAGGGCTCTGGCTGCCCCACGGACCCCTCGGGGTCCCGAGCCGGGCTGGTGGCACCAGCAGTGCCCAGCTGGCACCCTGACCCTTCCCAGCCCCGCAGAGTCCCGGCCCTGCTCCAACACTTTTACAGCCGGGGAGAACAAAGGTCCAGAAACTGGGTCTGTGTCGGGCCGAGAGCCCGTCCCGTCCCCTCCCCGAAACTCCCGGCGCAGGCAGATGGATCACCCCGCGTCCTCCCGCACCCCTGGGGTGCCCCAGCCCTTCCCACAGCCCTGGATCACCCCTACAGTCCCAGTTCATCCTGGATCCTCTCACAGCCCTGGATCATCCCAATTCCTCCCACAGCCCCAGATAATCCTGGTTCTTCCCACAGCCCCTGCTCAGCCCAATTCCTCCCACATCCCTGGATCACCCCGACTCCTCCTGCAGTCCCAGCTCATCCTGTTTCTTCCCACAGCCCTGGATCACCCCATTCCTCCCACAGTCCCAGATAATCCTGGTTCTTTCCACAGCCCTGGATCACCCCAGTCCCTCCCACAACCCCAGGACACCCCGATTCCTCCCAAAGCCCGGGATCACCCTGATTTCTCCCACAGCCCTGGATCACCCCAATTCCTCCCAGAGTCCCAGCTCATCCTGGTTCCCCCCCACATCCTCAGCTCATCCCAACTCCTCCTGCAGCCCTGGATCACTTGCCCCGGTTGCCGCTACACCCCCAGATCATCCCAGTTCCTCCCGCAGCCCCGGATCACCCCAAACTCATTAAAGACAGAGGGAAAACGCCGAGGGCAGGACGGGGACTGAGGGCAGGACACGTGGTCACCCACCCTCACCCTCCCCAGCTCCACACCCCGTGGGACGCAGCCCGAAGGGGTCCCTGCCCTCACCTCCTGGGGGTCCACGGTGCAGTAGTGGTACAGGTACTGGTTGAGGTAGGTGCTGCCGCTGTAGATCTGGCTGCACATGGTCAGCAGGGGGTTGTAGTAGTAGCTGCCCGTCATCTGCGCCTGGGGGTTGACGCCCACGACGTAGACGATGGAGGCGATGAGCATGGCCAGGGCCAGCACCGCGCTCACCACCAGCACCACCAGGTAGAAGCGGCGCGAGCGGGTGCTGCTGGACTTGCTGACGCCGGCCACGAAGAGCCCCAGCTGGGCCAGGAAGCAGAGCACGGCCATGGCGATCATGAAGCCGTTGGCCGCCCGCGGGTTGGTGACGCCGCCGTAGTACCCCCCGTAGCCGTACCCGTAGCTCAGCCCGCTGCCGTAGTAGCCGGAGCCGTAGTAACCCCCCAGGCCGTTGCCGTAGAGCCCCCCGAAGCCGTAGCCGTACTCCCAGGCCAGGGTGGAGGCCACGCAGGCGAAGATGGCGATGCAGAGCAGGATGACCGCGGCCTCCAGGATCCTCACCACGCCCGGCGGCGACGACCACTTGTAGAAGTGCTGCGGCACGTCCTCGATGTAGTAGGAGCCCGGCGGCGGCGAGCGGGCCCCGTAGTCGTAGCCGTAATCGCCCGTGGGGGCCCCGTAGCCCGTGGGGGGGCCGTAGCCTGTGGGGGGGCCGTAACCCATCGTGGGGCTGTCGTAGGACTTCTTGCTGAACATGGTGGCGGAGCCTGGGGGGGACACGGACGGAGAGTCGGAGCCGGTCGAGCGCCAGGAGGTGCCGGCATCGGCGCGAGGCGGAACCGCCGCGTTTCCACCGCCCCGTGGGGACTTTGGTCCCGTCCCCCCCCCAGTCCCGTCACCAGCACCGTCAACACCCGCCCAACGCCGCGGCACCAGAGTCAGCGCGGGGAAACTGAGGCACGGGCACAGTGAGTCACCGGCGGCGCCCGGCCCGTCACGCCCCGGCCCACGCCGGGGACCCCAAAACCCCCCCCCGGCCTCCCAGACCCCCCCCCACCGCGGCCCGAGGAACCGGGGATTGTTTAAATTCTCCTGAAAGCAGCAAAGCGCTTACCCGGGGCCCGCCCCCGCCCCGAGGGTGCCGCCGTAAGCAGATCTGAAGGATTAAAGAGGAAAATAATAATAATAATAATAATAATAACAACGCGGGGCACGTGAGCGACAGCCCCCAGGAAAGTGGCGAATCGGTGCGTAAAAATTTGGGGGGGGTTCTCGAAATCGATGTGGGGACCCCCCCACGCGGTGCAGAGACCCCAGCCCGGAGCAGGGAGCAGCACCTGAATCAGGGGAAACCTGAAGCCCTGTGGGAAATCCAACCCGGGCCCCCATTCTGGCGGAGCTCAGCGGCAGGATCAGACCCCCGTGGTGGGTGGGGGGGTTGGGAGGACCCCTGACCAGCGGCAAGGGTGAGCACTGGGCCCCAGTGGTGCCCCCGGGGATTTGGGGCTGCCCGAGCCAACCCCTCCCCACTTCGAGTGTCCCAACACCCCCCGTCCCACAAACCCCCGAACCTCCCGATCGCGGTCGGATTCACCCCCGAGCTGATCCCCCCACCCTCCTGAGGGTCCGAGCGGCCACCGGGACCCGGCAGCTGCGGGGACCCCCCCCTCGAGCTGGACCGGGGGGTCTCCGGCTCCCGGAGCGGGAACCGGAGCGCGACGCCCCCCGGGGCCGGCGGGGAGGACACGGGAGGGGGGTCCGGGGGTCCCTTCCCCGCTGAGGGGGCACCGGGCGGGCAGCGCGACCCCCCGGGAGGAGCAGCGGCCTCTCGGCTTTGGGAGCCCCGGTACCGGTGGGGAACCCGGTGGGGACCCCGGTGGGGAGCCCGGTGCCGGTGGGGACCTCGGCGGCCGGTCCCGCGGGGGTCCCCGGTGAGACCCCGGTACCGGCGTGGAGTTCGGTGGTCGGTACCGGCGCGAGCCCCGGTGGGGAACCCGGTGGCACCGGAGGGGATTTCGGTGCCGGTGGGGACGCCCGTACCGGAGGGAAGCCCGGCGGGGACCCCGGTGCAGGTGGGGCGGCGGGGAAGGACGAACCCCCCCGTGCGCGGCGGGGCGCGGGGACCCCCCGTGCGCCCTCCCGCCCCGGGAGCCCGCTCGCCCCGCGGGGCCGCGGCCGGTACCGGGGCCGGTACCGAGGGGGGAGTCCCGTGGCCGCGGAGCCACTCACCTGCCGCCGCCTCCTCCGCTTTGTTCACCTTAAAATGGCAGCCGGGAGCGGCGGGAGGCGGCGGCGGCAGCGCTGCGGGACCGGCCCCGGGTCCCGCCCCCGGGAGGGGTGGGATGGGAGCACCGGGATCCGCCTTGGGGGGGGCGGTGAAATTGGGGGTGAAATCGGGGGGCGGCGAAATTGTGCCCCGTGCTGAGGGTCCCGAGGGCGCTGCGGTGGGACGGGGGCACCCGCTGCCCCCGGACACGGTGGGTGCCCCGGGATGCGCGTTAAGACGCCCGCAAAAAAACCTTGAGACACCCCCCGTTCCTAAAAAAAACCCAAAACCAAAACACCACCACGTTTCTTAAACCCGGTTACTGAATTAAAGCCACTTCAGCAGCTGCATCCCCTGCCCGGGGAGGGGAGTGAGGAGCTCCCCGATTCCCAGGGATGAGGTGGGGGCACAGCCGGGGCCTGGGGACGGGCAGGACCCACCCAGCGCTCGGGGGTCCCGGGGCCACGAGGCTCCACGAGGACCTCCAGAATGAGGAGCCGGTGGGTTTCCTCCCCTTTCGCGTGGGTGCGATGGGTCGGTGGGTACCGGGTGATCCCTGGTGGGTACTGGGTGATCCCCGCGGCATCGCCACCCCCTCCCCATCCCCTGGGGTGCCTCGGGGGGGGGGGAGGTGCCCAGGCCCGGGCACAGGCTCAGGAGCCACCGGCGCTGGGGTGGGTGACACGATTGTACTCCTGGATCCGCGCCTTGAGGTGCGTCAGCTTCTTCCTCAGGTACTCACAGCGCCGCTGCTTCTCCAGCCAGGCTGAATCCTGCCGGGAATAGCCCTGCCAAGGCACCGGGGTCTTGTGATGCCCAGGGCACACCCCCCCCCCGCTCCCCAGAACAAATCCTGAGCCCTCCCGCTGCTCACCCCCCTCCTCCTCACAAACTCACAGCGGTTGTGGGTCACGTCCCGGAGCCCCGCGGGGGGTTCAGCCCTAATGAGGTGGCTGGAGGTGACAAATCCGGAGGGCTCGGGGGCACCCAGAATTCCTCCGGCACCTCCAGCGCTTCCAAGACCTGCGGCAAAACCCTCCCCCAGGGCGCAGCCAAGAAATTCCAACGCTCATTAATTTTCCAGGAGCTGCCTTCGGGCGCTGCTGGTGCCAGCGGAGCCTGGGGGTCCACGTGTCTCCTCCCGTCCTCCCAACACCCTCTGCAGCCCCCCCCCGGCTCACCCCTAATCCCTGCAGAGAACGCCCAGCTCATCCCCATCACATCCCATCCTCAGCACCATCACAGGACGGTGCCCCGTGCCCACCCAGGGACCCACCGTCCCGCCCGGGGGGTGACGTGTGGCGCGGAGCTCCCGGTGCAGATCCACGTATTCCGCCAGCTGGTCCTGGAAGACGCCCTTGTAGCCCTCCCGCTGCCGGGGGCTCAGGATCGCCGGGTACCTCCTGCCCCCCCAAAACCACGGGGCTCAGGTGCTGCCCTCACCACCAGAACTCTCGTGGTTGGGTACCGGGGGGGGGTCCGTGACACCCCCGTGACCACCCCCGTCGCCAACGGGCCACTTACACCACGTAGTCGGGGACGGCACGCGGTCGGGGTGACAGTCGGGGGGCGACAGACCTGTCCCCCCGCTTCTCCTGCTCCCCGGCAGGACGGGCCCTCCCCGGGGGTCCCCGCGGTGGCACCACCTCGTCCTCGAAGGTGACACACCTGGCACGGGCTGGCGGCGGCTTCGGGACGCAAGGGGAGGGTGTGAGGGGTGAGGTGGCAGCGCCGCCGAGCCGGGGGGCAGGGCGGGGACCACCCGGGGCTGCCCCCGCTCCCGGTGACCGCGGGACCCCCGGGGACCTCCCGGGGCTTCCAGGTCACCTCGCCCCGCCACACGTGGAGGGACGGGAGGCTGCGGGCCGGGTGGAGCAGCGCCGGGAGGAAGAGGAGGGTGAGAGCAGAGACAGCAGCGAGGGGGGGCCGTGACACAGCCCCCCAAGACTGGCAGTCCCCCCCCCACTGCCAGCGACACGAGGGACATGAGACCCGAGGGGGCGGGGGGGCAGGAGGATGCTGCGGTCACCGAGGGGTGGTCGTCAGCCCCAGCCGCCCCAACGCCCCCAGGGCAGGACTTAGAGGGGGTCCAACGCCCCCAGCCCAGCCCGGGGGCTCAGCCCCCCGCCCCCGCTCCGTACCGGGTGGTCCCGGTGTCCCGGCGGGGCGGGGGGGCTCGGCCAGCGGCTCCCGGCGGTTTTGGGGTGACGGGGGTGCCCCGGGTGCATCCGGCTTCGCTCCCGCAGCTCCGGGCTGGGTCCCGCTGGAGGAGAAGCCCCGGGATGAGGGGGACGGGAGGGAGCCCCCCGGTCCCGGTGTCCCCGGCCCCTCCTCCGCGTCTCAGCTTCCCCCGCAGTCCCCGTCGCTCCCACGGGGGACACAACCGTGTCCGGGGGTGTCACCTCTGGGGCATGAACCGCCGTCCCAGTCCCCCCCAGCCTGGACTGGGATGGAAAGCACCCACTGGTGCTCCCAGCACCCAGGAGCAGGGACCCCTCTGGGCCCCCTCGAGTCCAGCAGCCGCTGGGTCACTCCCAGACGCTCCGTGTCCCCTCCTGTCCCCGTGCCAGCCCCTGCAGGGCAGCGTCCGGCCCCTGACCCCCGCCACCAACGTTACCTGCCCGTCTCATGGGGGGGACACGGCCCCGGGACCCCCCGCGATGTCCCTTGGCCGCCGCCCACCGGCACCGCTGCCACCACCAGTGCCACCACCAGTGCCACCAGTCACCGCCACCAGTCACCGCCACCACCGCCCGGCACCGCTGGTTAATCATTAACAGCCTCGTGCCACCCCAAACCGTGGCACGGGGCCCCGCGTGGGCAGCCTGGGGCCCCTGCCCCCCCCCCCCAAAGTGCCCCCCCCCCTCCTGCCCCCGCCTTCTGCAGGACCCCAACACCCACATCCCGGGGCTGCAGAGGGGGAGCCGGGGTACCCCCGGATGGCTCGAGATGCTCCATCACCCACCCCAATCTGCTGCTATGAGCCCCCCCAAACCTGCCCTAGTGGGGGGCTGCAAGCCCCCGGCCCTCTCAGTGCCCCCCCCCGCCCCCCGAGGGGTTTGGAGCCCCACACCAGCCCCATTCACCCCCACAAGGTTCCCAGGGTGGGGGAGTGACAAAGACCCCCCAAAACACCCTTTTTCACCCCCTTTCACCCCCCCGGGACCCCATCCCGCCCCCCGCCGGGGGGGTCCCGCTGCCGCGAGCAGAGAGTGATACATCCAGTTCAGGCTCCTTTAATTTGCGCCTCAGCCCCCCCCGACCCCCCTCCCCCGGCGGGGGGGAGCAGGACCGGCCCCGGGGGGGTGCAGGGCTGTGGGGGTCCCGGCAGAGGGTCCTCGCCCACCCCGCGGGGGGGGCCGGGCTCGGTATTGCATCCAGGAGTCTCCCAGCGCTCTGCGACGGTCGGTGCCGCGTCCCCCCCACCTCCCACCCCCCCCCCATTTTACAGACGGGGCAAACTGAGGCACAGAGAGGTGACGTGACTTCGCCAAGGTCACTTCGTGGCAGAGCCGGGAACAGAGACACCCCCCCACCCCCAAAATCCTCCACGCTGGGGCTCAGCCCTGCTCTCACCACGGGGGTCTCTCCCCGCTCCGCACCCTCCAGGCAAGACCCCCCAGGCGTCCCCCCACCCTGTCCCCAAACCTCCACCCCCTCCACACCCGGGGGTCAGCCCCCAAACCCCCCCTCACAACACTCAGGGCTCCTGGCTTCTCCCCCTCTCCCCCTGCCCCCCCTCCCAGGGCTGCTCCAGCCCCCCCAGTGCAGCGGTTGCTGCATCCCACCCCCCCAAAAAGCCCTCCTGGAGGCTGGGGCTCAGCTCCCACCCGGCCGGGGGGGGCGGGGGGGGCTCTGGGGGGGGCTCCAGCCTCAAGCCAGCACAGTGAACGCAGGAAATTTATACAGGGCTTTACAGAACAAAGCTACTGAAATCAGCCACACGATGGCCAGACATAAGAGGGGCCCCCCCAGACCCCCCCTCCCCATCACCCGCTGTCCGAGGAGGTGGGGGGGGTGACAGAGGGGGACCTGTGCCCCCCCCTCACGCACCCCCCTCCCTACCAACTACTGTCTGAGGAGGTGGGGGGGTGACAAAGGGACTTTGGGGGTGCCCCCATAACCCCCCCACCCCGTCACCCGCTGTCCATGGTGGGGGTGCAAAGGGACTTTGGGGGTGCCCCCCCATCACCCGCTGTCCGAAGAGGGAGGAGGTGACAGAGGAGGACCCGGGGGTGCCCCCACAGCCCCCTCCCCATCACCCGCCGTCCAAGGGGGTGGAGGGGGTTGTAAAAGGGCACCCGGGGGTGCCCCCAGCACCCCCCACCCCCTCACCCGCTGTCAGAGGCGGGGGGGGCACCGGCAGGGGCGCGGGGGGCACGGGTGGGGGTGCAGGGGGCCGTGGCCGAGCAGAGCCGGGGGGGCCAAGCCCCCAGGAGCTCCCTCTGCTGCTGGCCCAGGGCCTGGCTCACCAGCCCGGGCAGGGCCAGCAGGCTCAGCCCCAGCGCCTCCAGTTTGCTCTCCAGGGCTCCCAGTCGCTTCTCCAGGTCCTCGTGGCGCTCCTGCAGCTCCGAGACCATGTCGTACATGATGTTCTGGGTCTGGGGGGAACCACAACGGCACGGGGGGGGGCTCAGTGCTGGATCCCCCCACAGTGGGGTCCCCCCAAATCCCCCCAGACCCCCCCTGGCATCACTCACCTTGGCCAGGTCCACCAGAGTGTTGGCCTGGTCGTTGAGCTTCCGCTGCTCCATCTTCACACTCCTCAGCCTGGGGAGACACAGGGGGGGTTGTTCAGGCTCGGTGACTCCCCCCATGAGCCTCCTCAGACCCCCGTGAGCCCCTTTAGACCCCCATGCAGCCCCCCCACTGCCCAGCATGCAGCCCCCCCCCATCCCAACCCCCTGAGCACAGCCCCTGCCCCTCCATCCCTGCGGCCCAGACAGAGCTGGGGGGGCCACCCTGAGGTGTCCCCCCCGCCCCAAACGTGGCAGCCAGAGCTCATGCAAAGGGGAGCAGCCGGGGAGGGAGGGGGGGGCAGAAAGGGGGTGACTTACTTCTGAGCTCTGCAGGGACAGGGCAGAACAGAGACAAAACACAACAGCAGGTTTAATACCACCACGAAGAGCGCGGGGGCACGAGAGCAGAGCAGCACGACCCCCCCCGCCAAGGACCCCCACCCAAGCCAGGCACCCCTCAGTCCCACCCCCCCAAAGCAGGAGGCACCCGAGGGGGCTCAGAGCCCCCCAGCCCTGCTCTCCTGACAAAGGTCACACCAATCTCATCAACTGGGCACCCCTGGGGTCACCCCTGGAGCATCGGGGGCCCCACATGCTGGGGGAGCATCCCATAGTGGGGGGGGGACACACAGGGGACAGGAGACAGGGACAGGGGACACCAGGGATGGGGAGAGGGGGACAGGGATGGGGGACACAGGGGATGGGGAGGAAGTGGGGATGGGGACAGCAGATGGAGGACAAGGACAAGGGACAGGGGACAAGGAAAAGGGACAGTGACAGGGGAGGGGGACAGTGGAGATGGGGGACTGGAAATGGGGGATGGGGACAGGGGACAAGGACAGGGACCTCCTGGCTCCCAACCCAGAGCTCCAGGCAGGTGCAGAAGGGGAGGAAGCACCCAGCTCTCCTCCTGGGGAAAAAATAAAACCTCTGGGATGGGACACCATTGCTGGTAGGAAGCAGGTAAAGGTTTGGCACTTACTGATGGATGGCTTGGAGGAACTTACGCTGGTGTTTCCGAACTTTGGCATGGTCGATCTTCTTCACCAGCTTGGTGTGTTTGTAGATGAGCCACGTTTCCCTGAGTACGTTGGCAGCAGCATTTTTCACCTGGAAGCCACCGGATGCCCAGGGGTGAGGGGCGGGCGGGGCCGGGGGAGGGCCGGTCCCGCCGCTCGGGGGAGGGGAGGGGCGGCCCGGGGGGTCTCACCCGCTTCGTGAGCTGCGTGTCCATCATGAAGTTGTGGACGTGTTTCTCCGCTTTGGTGAGCTCCAGCTTTCTGGCCACCACGGCCACGACCAGCGCGGTGCAGCCGGCGCCCTGCGGGCAGGGACCCCCGGGGTGAGGGCGGGGGGGGAGCCTGGGGGGCGCAGGGGCCGCGTGTGTGTCCCCCCCCAGCCCTGGGGGGGCTCAGGGGCCGTGTGTGTGTGTCCCCCCAGCCCTGGGGGATGCAGGGCCATGTGTGTGTGTGTCCCCCCAGCCCTGGGGGGCGCAGGGGCCGTGTGTGTGTCCCCCCCCATCCCTGGGGGGCGCAGGGGCCGTGTGTGTGTCCCCCCCGCCGCGGCGCTCACCATGATGCCGGTGAGCAGGCAGACGCCCTTCCCGCAGTAGGTGTGCGGCACCATGTCCCCGTAGCCGATGGACAGGAAGGTGATGGAGATCAGCCACATCGCCCCCAGGAAGTTGCTGGTCACCTCCTGCTTGTCGTGGTACCTGCCCGGGGCCGAGCGCAGCCGCTGGCACCGCTGGCACCGCTGGCACCGCCCGCGCCGCGCTCGCCCCTCTCGCCCCTCTCGCGGTGCCGCCGCCCTGCCACGAGGGGTTTGGGGCGTGTTCCCAGCCAAGGAGAGTCCCCGGGCTCCCAGATGTGCTGCTGGGAGCCCCAGAGAAGTTGGGGACACCCCGGGGACATCAGGCACGGCCGCTCCAGACAGGGGGAGGAGGGACGCCCCGAGTGGGCTGTGCCCCCCCAGGAGCGGGGCTGGATCGGGGGGTGCTGCTGGATGTGGACAGCAAGGGGACAGGCTCGGAGCAGCCCCCCGGTGACCTCCGTCCCCCTGGAGCCCTCCCAGAGATCTCAAAGCACAGGACACGGGTGTCACCGCAGGCCCGCGGGGAGGGGACACCCCGTCCCTGCAGAGACCTGGATGAACTGGGGCACCCCGAGCTCCTGGGGGGCCACCCCGGCTCCGAGGGGCCCCGAGACCAGCGTGGGTGACACCGGGTGGGCAGTGGGGGACGCTGTGCTTTGAGATTCCGTGGCCAGAGCCGGCGCCACGGACACGGCCGGCCGTGCCCCCCACCCCTCCCCGAGGGACCCCCATGACAGGGGGACGAGCCCGGCCGGGGACACGGAGCAGTGGCCAAGCTGGGCAGCAGGGCTGGGACATGCTGGGAGCAGTGGGGAGCTGGGAAAACGGGGTGCTGGGGGTGGGGGGAGGGAAGGGGGGAGACGGGAGCAAGCCGGGGGGGGGGCTCAAGCGTGCGGTGAGGAATTTAGGATTGCTGCGTCCCCCCACCCGGCCCCCCCGGGGGGCTTGGAACCTCATCTGGCGCTGAGGGGCATGGCAGGGAGATGGGGGGGGCACCATGGGACAGGGTGGTGCTGGGGGCACCCCTCATCCCAGGGCAGGGAGATGCTGGGGGCACCCCACACCCTGGGTGGGGTTGGCAGCCTGGGATGTCACCCCACAGTGATGCTCCCCAGGACCCACAGATCTCCCCACTCCCAAGGAGCACCCAGGACTCCTCCAGGCACTCAAAACATGCAGGTTAAGGAGGGGAAACTCCAAGGAACAATGTCCAGAGCCAAGGAAAACCCTTTGGAGGCTCATCCGAAGCCTCTTGTTCGAAGCAATTGGGATCCAGTGGCTCCTTTCCCAGTTTCTTGCCGGGGTCTCCCCTTCCAGGGTCACCCCAGAACCCACAGCAATCCCTGCAGCAACCCCTCCCTCCAAGAGCCCCCCAAGAGCCAGCACAGAAGGAGCTGTGCCCCGACCCCCCCTCCCATCAGGACCCCCATTCCGTGCCCACAGCCAGGCTGGGCACCACGGCCCCCCCAGCTGGGGGGCACAGGGGGGACAGGAAGCAGCTGCTGAGGTTCCAAGTGGAAAAGGGCTCCAGCCCCTTTCCGTGTCCACGGCCCCTTTGCCCCCCCGGCCCCCCAGCCCTGTCCCCCCCCCCCCGGCTCTGGCTGCAGCTAATCCTAAATTCTGGGAAGCAGAAGCCTGGGGCGGGGCCGCCCCGTGCAGGACGCGCTGGGGGTCCCTGGGGTCACTCACAGTTTGTCCCTGCAAGCAGCAGAGCGTCGGGGAGGGAAAACAAGAGCAGTTAATGCGCGGCCCGGGGGGGGGCCCGGCCCAGAAGGGGCGGGCACGGGGAGGGCACCGGCGCGGGCATCCCGGCCCCGCCCCGCGGGAGCAGCTGAGGAGTGCGGGCACACCCCGAGCCAGGTCCCCTCCGTGGGACCCCCACCCACCTCCTGGGACCCCTCTGGGAGACCCCCGGGGCCTCCGACCCCTCTGTGAGACCCCGGGTCCTTGGTCCCCTCTGAGCGACCCCCAGCTCCACCTGGGCAGCAGAGAGCGCGTCCTGCCCCACCCCAGGGGGGCACAGAGGAGCTTGGGACAGGTTTGGGGACACCCTGGGGGTCCGGCCACCCCCACCTCGCCTTGGCGAGCGAGTTCGGTTTGGAAAAACCATCGTGGCCACCGTGAGGGTCCCACCAAGGGGGGTCAGCCCGGGCAGGGGGGGGCTCTTCTCCAAGAGGTCTCTTCCCCAAGGGGTCTCCCCTCTGCCCTGACCCCCCCTCAGGGTCTGCACCGTGTGTCCTCAGCTGCCCCCCAGCCCCGTGTTCCCCCCCCAGCCCCTCCGGGGAGCCCCCCCCGCACCTCTCGCAGACGCGGACGGTCCAGGCGGCGATGATCCAGGAGGAGATGCTGAACACCAGCAGGACGGTGCCGGGGCAGATGGTCATGAGGGTCTTCATGACGAAGCGGGTGTTGAAGTTGATCTTGTTGAGGGCCCCGATGCTGCGGGACGAGGCGTCGGTGAAGAGTTTGCTGTGCAGGAGCATCACGCGCCCGATCAGGTAGAGCCGCAGGAACATGGGGATGGACAGGATGATGTCCACGTCGGCGTCGGCCACGGAGGCGGCGTAGGTGAAGGCCAGGCGGGCGGTCCAGGTGAACAGGTACTGCCCGGGGATGGGGTGGATGGCGCACACGATGAGCTCCAGCGCGATGAAGAAGATGCGCTCGTAGGTCATGGCGATGCGCCAGTCGTCGGCGCCGTTGTCCACCATGAACAGCTGCGGGGGCACAGAGGGCGCCGGTGGGACCTCCGAGGTGGCAGGACCACGGCAGGACCACCCCGGTGACCCCCACGGGCGGGTGCCCCTCACCTGGATCTCCCTGGCGTGGTACATGACGATGAGCCCCAGGAGGATGAGGGTCGAGAGGCTGATAAGGCATTTCAGTGCAAACGAATACGACGACTCCTGCCAGGGGAGCGGGGCAGGGTGAGCCCGGACGGACCCCCGGACGGACCCCCACCCGCCTCCCACCGCCCCCCCAACCTTGGTGTAGACCCCCCAGGACAGCTCCGTCTCCGTGACCATGACCACGATGCCGAACATCCCGAAGATCAGGGCGTAATCGCTGAGGCGCTTCCGCTTCTCGAAGAGGGCTCGCCGGTGGCCCAGCTTGTACCCGATGTTCTGGTTCCTCCGGGGTTCCCCTCCCCGCTCCTCAGCCCCATCCTGCCCCGGGGCCGCCGCCGGGCCGGGCTCCGGACCCCCGGGCTGCTCCGGCCGCGACACCACCACCTCGAGGCCGGGGGACGGGCAGGGCCGCAGGGGCTGGGTCTCCCCCTCGAGCGGGTGCAGGGAGCGGGCGGAGGCGCTCAGGGGGCCCCGGGGCCGTGTCACCCCCCCATTGTACCGGCAGCCGCTCATGGCTCTGGCGGGGAGGGGGCCGGGCGATCCCGCATGGCTCAGCGGCGCGGGGGCGACCTGTGGGACAGGGGATGGGGGGCTGCGTGGGTGGGGGGGTCACGGGGAGCCGGGATCGGCGTCCTCGTCCCGCCCGGCACCAGGTGATGCTTCCCAGGGACGCGTCCTGCCCGTGGGGACACGTCCTGCCTATAGGGACATGCCCTGCCCACGGAAGACGTGTCCTGTTGGGGGAGACACGTCCTGCCCATGGGGACGTGTCCCACCCACCGGGGACCTGCCCTGCCCGTGGGGGACGCGTCCTGCCGGGGGGGCCACGCCGTGCCTACAGGTGCGTGTCCTGCCCACGGGGGGGACGCGTCGCGCTCATGGAGGACGCGCCCGCGTCCTGCCCACGGGGGGACGCGTCGTGCCTACGGGGACATGTCCTGCCCGTCGGGGACGCGCCCGCGCCCTGCCCACACGGGACCGCGTCCTGCCCCCGCCGCGGCCCCGCCGCCCCCTCCGCACCCCCGGGGGGTGCGGACCCCGAGCCCGGGCCGCGCCCGCGCCCCGCGGTGCCCCCCGCACGCCGGGCGCTGCCGCTGCCCCGCGGCCCCGGGACGGCTCCGCTCCGCCGTAACGGAGCCGCAGCTGCGCGTCCCCGCCGCCCCCGAACCCGCCGCGCCCGGGGCTCCCGCTGCCCGGGGGCTCCCCGGGGGGCTCCGGCCCGGCTGCCCCCGGCCCGGCTCCCCCCCCGGCGTGCGCGGTACCTGCCGTGCCGGTGCCCGGGGGCCGGGCCGGGTCCCGCCGCCGCCGCCGCAGCCGGAGCCGGTCCCGGGGGCGCGCGGCGGCGGCACCGGAGCGCCCGGGGGCGGGGCGGGGGGCGCGTCCCGCGCTCCCATTGGCCAGGGCAGACCACACCCCTGCTGACGAGCGCCGCGCCACGCCCTTGGCCCCGCCCATCAGGGCGTTCGCCACGCCCCCCTCGCGCTCACTTCCCCCCCCCCTCCGGGGGCTGCCGGAGTCCCCCAGACACCGCACTGCCCCCCCCCAAAAACACCCGCACCCCAAACACCCCTGCCCCCCACAGGCACCCCCAGCACCCCCCCCGCACGCCCCCGGCACCCCCTCCAGCCTCGCTGTGCCCCAAAACTCATCATGCCCCGTGACCCCCCCCTAGGGCTCCCCCTCACCCTCCCCAAACCCCCCGAGAACGCGGCCTCCGGCATCCCCAGTACAGCCCCCCATCAGCCCCAGTGCACCCCCAGCACCCCCAAACATCCCCCAGCGCCCCGGTGCAACCCCAGCACACCGCGACCCCCGCTCGTGCCCCCCTACCTGCTCGGGCTCCCCGGGGCCGGCCGGGGGGGTCCTCGGGGCGTTAGGGGCTGCAGGGCCGGGGCTGGATGCGGGGGGGGCCTGGGGGTCTGGGGGCCATGGGCTTCCCTCCACGCCTGGCCAGAGAGGAGACGTGGCGTTAGCGGGGTCCCCAAACCCCCCCGGCTGCAGGGCCAGGGACCCCCAGAGCCACTGCACCTGGCGAGGGTCCTGCCCTGGCACCGCCACTCAGGGGGTCACCCTGTCCCCTGCCCCCCCGGGCACCCCCTGATGCACAGACCCCCTGCACCAGCAGCCCCAGTGCACAAGGGGTTTCACCACGTGAAAGACCCCACTGCACGAGGGGCTCCATCCCACCAGAGACCCCACTGCAGGAGGGGCTGCATCGCCCCCACAGCCCCCTTGCTGAGGGGCTGCCCCGCACACACCACCCCGCTGCACAAGGGCCTCGTCACACAAAAGGCCCCCTTGCACAAGGGGCTGCATCGCCCCGACAGCCCCACTGCCAGGGGGGGCACGAAAGACCCCGTCGAAGGAGGGGCTGCATCGCACCAACCACCCCCCGATTCACAAGGGGCTGCATCACACAGAGAACCCCCCTGCACGAGGGGCTGCGTCCCACAAACGGCCCCATTGCACGAGGGACCCCACGGCACCAACCACCCCCCTGCACGAGGGGCTGCGTCACCCCAACGGCCCCCTCGCAGCACGGGCTGCACCACAGCAAGGACCCCACTGCACGAGGGGCTCCACCACACCAACAACCCCGTTCCACGGGGGGCTGCATCCCCTGAGAAACCCCCCTGCAGGAAGGCCTCGTGGCACAAAAACCCCACTGCACGGGGGGGCTTCGTCGCGCCGACGGCCCCCTCCCACGAGGGGCTGCGTCCCACGAAAGACCCCCTTGCACGAGTCGCTGCTTCACACCCACGGCCCCACTGCACGAGGGGCTGCATTGCACCAACGGCCCCGCTGCACAAGGGCCTCGTGGCAGGGAAGCCCCCCTTGCACGACGGGCTCTGTGGCACCAACGACCCCGTTGCACGGGGGGGCTGCACCCCACGAAGGGCCCTGTTGCACGAGGGGCTCCATCGCACCCACGGCCCCTTTGCACGAGGGGCTGCGTCACACGGAACCCCCCCCCAAAACCCCCAAAACGGCCTCCAAACCCCCACACCGAGCCCACGGCCCCAGCAGCAGCCCAGGGCTCCTGGCACAGGGGAACGGGGGGTCCCTGCAGCCCCCCCCAGCCCTGCAGCGGGGCTGTACCCCGGGGTGCAGCAGCTCCCTGGATTTCAGGCCTCCAGGCTCCCGGTCCTGCCGCACCCCGGAATACCGGGATCAGCACGGACACCGGCACGGGGACACCCGGCGTGGGGCTGCCACCACCAGCACCCCCCCTTTCCCCGGGGAGCAGCAGGGCTTCGGGACCCCTTCCCCATCCCCCGGGGACGCGGCAGAGCCAGGGATGATGTTTTCCCGGTTCCTCCGGGAGCTCCGGAGCGTGGCCGGGCTCCAGCGCCCAGCTGCTCCCGGTGTGCAGCCGGGGCCCTGGCTCCCCTCCAGAGCCAGATCATTTTCTCTCCATTCTGCCAAATTTATCGCAGGAAAATGGGCTCCGATTTCTTTTTAATGCTCGGATGGGGAGAAAAATACGCAGCGGGCAGGGACGGAGGGGAAACGTCTCCCCGGGGCCGGCGGCCCCAGGCCCTTCGCCGCGGCCGTGCCGGGGATGCCGGAGCTGTGCCAGGGCACTGCTCACCCCACCACAGCCCGGAAAACTTTTTGCCACCTCAAACGGGGGGGGTGAAGCCGCCCTGGAGCCCTCCCTGACCAGTGTCAGTAAATATTTCATTAACCACCGCTCCGTGGTCGTTTCACCAACGGCCTCTATCGATGGCGACGTAAATGGGCCTTATTAAATCTTCCTCCTGCCAGGACATCCACAGGGATGAATCCGGAAGGATTCAGCACCCGGAGGGCTGGTTAAAACCGTGAAGGCCCGAGGAGTCCCCATCCCTTGTCCCTGCACCCCCAAGGGGATGCCGTGGCCGGGGCTGCATCCCCAGGGATGCTCTGGTGGGATGCGCAGGGTGGTCCTCCCTGTCCCCATCGTCCTCACCACGGGGACGGGGATGGGGATGGGGACACGGCAGGTCCCCTCAGACAGGAGTTCTGCTGGCCACGGTCACCGTGTGTCCTTGAGACACGGGCCTGAGTGTCCCTGCTCCCGGCAGCTCCCGCCAGGATGTGACACAGCAGCAGGATGCCCGCGGCCACAGCCGAGTGTCACAGCGTGGCACGGGGGGTCCCACCATGCCCCTGCCACCCTTGGGGCTGGGACACGGGCACCCACCCACTCTGCAGTGTCACTTGGGTTGTCACCGAGGAGATGGCTGGGGACGGACCCACGGGATGGGGACAGCAAAGGGGTCCTAAGGGCGACCCCGGTCACGGCAGCACCTCCACCCCCTGCACAGAGCACGGACTGGGTGGGGGGACACGGCTTAACCTCCCAGAGCTGGGCCGCAGCAGCCCCCCGTGCCCCGGGGGTGGCTGTGGGGTGGCAGTGGGACCCCCCACTTCCCCCCCCGTGCCCCGAAGCAGCGACACTGCCTTGGAGCAACTGCAGAGGAGGAGGGTGCGGCTAAAAATAGCGGCCGAAAGGCTCCCCGCGGGTGATTTATTACCCGCCCGCTAATTCCTGCCTGGGAATCACGGCCCGGCGAGGGTGGGGCAGGAATTTGGGGGAGCAGCGGCCGTGCCAGGGCTGTGCCCCGGGGGACAGGGGGACGGGGAAGCAGGGAACCCCCTGGCCGTGGGGCAGGGGACGGGGTGCTGGGGGCGGCGGGGCCCACGCGGTGACCCTGCCCGGGGTCACGGGGGCTCCCCGCCAGCGGCTCGGGCTTTGCCGGGGCACGAAGTGCGTCAGACCCCCTGTGGCCCCCCCCGTCCCCAAAAATCCCCCGCGGCGGCCCCGGTTCCTCCCGCCGCCGCCAAGCCCTGGCCATATGTCCCAGGCTGGGGAGCATCTGGCGGTGCCGGCGGGAGCCCCCCCCGCCCCCGCCAACGCCGCTGCCCACCCGCCGGCACGGGGCGGGCTGGGGGTGCCACCGCCGCTGCCCCCTCCCTCGAGGGCAGGGCAGGGGCGTGAGCGTGGTTTGGGGGGACACCAAACCCTCTGAGGCCCTCGGGGCTGGAGGAAGCGCCGGGACAAGGCCACCCGGCTCCCAGAGAGCAGCAGCACAACGGCTCAGCCAAGCCCTGCCACAGCAGGACTCCCAGAGATGCCAACAGCCGGGACCCCCGGTGATGCCAACAGCCGGGACCCCCGGCGATGCCAACAGCCGGGACCCCCGGCGATGCCAACAGCCGGGCCCTCCGTGCCCCAAGTGCCCCATGTCCACCCCGGCACGGCGAGGTCGGTGCGGAGGGGCAGAGCCTGGCACTGGGGGGATCCACCCGAGCCGGGATCAGGCCTGTTCCCGCCCGTGGGGTGCCCGTGGGCCCCACGGCGCAGGGGGAGGCACACGGGCTGGCACGCACTCGGGGACACGCGGGGACAACCCGAACCTCCCCAGCCCCGAGGCGGCGCAGGGGAATCCCCGGCTTGTCCCGGGGTCTCCCCGAGAAAATCCCTCCCCTGAGCCCCACGGAGACGCCCTGGGGCTGGGGCTGGATTGGGTCCGGAGGGACACGGGGGGCAGCACCGATGTCCCCAGGGGTGGCAGAGGCAGCCGGGGCCCCCCTGCCACCCCCAGCCCAAGGGGGATCCCCTCCCCAGCCCTCCCACCTCAGGAGGGGACACGCAGCCGGGGACACCCTACCTGCGTGGAGCCAGACAGGCGCCTGGGGCTGGGGCGGGGGGTCCTGCGGGGTCCAGCGGGGGGGTTCGGGCTCCCCACGCCCCCCCTTCGCCGCCACCGCGCCGGCGTCCCCAGACAAAGCCGCCGCGCCGGGTTCTCCCGCCTCCCCCACGCGCTCGGCTCAGCAGAAGGACAAAGCCGCTCCGCCTGGCTGCCCCCGCAGGGCCACCGCCGACCCCCCCCCGGGCCGCCCGGGGGGCACACGGGGGTCCCCACCGCCCCCGGCACTGCCCCAAACCCCTCAGAGAGGGGGGGCTCCCCCAAACCTCGCGAACGCCCCGGTAGAGCCCCACGTCCCCGCTGCAGGGTGGGGGGGTCCCCAACAATGCAGAGGGTTCCCCGCAAGCCCCCCGCGGTTCCCACCCTGCACAGGGACCCCCAGGGGTGGCTCAAGGTCACCGGGAAGGTCGTGAGAGGCAGGGAGGCCCCCAAGGCCTCAATGGCTGTGCTGTGACACGGGCGGGCGCTGCCCGGGCGCTCCCTGGCACGTCGAGGCCACGCGGCACCAGAACCCACCGGGAGCCCCTGGTGCCCACCCTGGGCTTGGGACCGGCCCAGGGTCCCACCAGCCCAGAGGTGTCACCCCAGTGTCACAGCTGGATCGGCCAGGGCTGGTTGTGGCAGGGGGGGGTCCCCCTGGTTTTGGTGAGGGCTGAGCTTGGTGCCACCCTGGTGTCCCGGTGCCACCGGTGAGCACCGAGCACCCCCAGCCCCTCAAACCTGCTCAGCTTCAGTGCCCCCAGCCACACCGTCCCCAAGGGTGGGGACCCCCCAAATCCCCTGACTCCGGCAGCTGGGGATTACCCTGAGCAGGCAAACCCTGCTGGGAGGGCATCCCCAGTGTCCCCATATCCCAAAAACCTGCAGGGAAGATGACCCTGGTGTCTCCACACCCCAGAAACCAGCAGACAGGACATCCCTGGTGTCCCCACACCCTGGCACCACGCAGGGAGGGCATCCCTGGTGTCCCCAAACCCCAAAAATCCACAGACAGGACTTCCCCGGTGTCCTCACACCCTGACACCACAAAGGGAGGGTGTCCCCGGTGTTCCCACACCCCAAAAACCCGCAGACAGGGCGTCCCTGGTGCCCCCACACTCCGACACCCCTCAGGCAGGACATCCCCGGTGTCCCCACACCCCGACACCACAAAGGGAGGGCGTCCCCGGCGCCCCCGCACTCCGAAAACCCGCAGACCCCGGCGCCCACACACCCCAAAAACGCGCAGACGGGGCACCCCCGGTGTCCCCACGCCCCTCCACCCCCCCACTCCAGGGAATGCCACCCCCGGGGTCCCCCCCGCT